CAACAATCAAACTCACAGATTTAAGAGGAAGTGTGTAAACAAGAGCCTGGGAGGCTGTGGGAACTCGCAGGGCTCCACCTTCCAGAACTCCGCGGAGTCTCAGAGCTGGTTTTTTAATCGTTACCCTGCTCTGTGTTGTTGGTGGGACTCTATAGTGCAATTCTTAACCTTTTTATATTAATGTCAATATTGGAACAATGTATCTTGGATGTATTCACTATGTATCTTTGCTACGCAACACCAATGTACATGTTTACCGGTTTTAGAATTGCATTATTGATCATGAGTAACGTGAGTAATAATATTACTCAAGTGATGCCGAACTCTGGCCGTTTCCAGAGACAAATATTTGAATTATGCAATTTTTTGTCTCTGTCCATGCGTGTCACCCAAAATGAAATCGTGTGTCACCTCTGACATGAGTATCATAGGTTCGCCATCACTGCTCTAGGACTTTGGAGGTGGAAAAAAGGACTTGATTAAATCTAGAATGTATGTCCTGACCAGGCAGTTTTCTCAGAGAGGACTAGCTTGTGGTCTATAGGAAACAGTTCAGTTCCAAGTCATTTCAGTTCTGGTTGGGTGTACAATGTATAGAACAAACAAATAGGAACTTTGGAAAATTAATGAGGCTCTGGAAAAGATTCTCTCCTTCCAGTTATCTTGAAATTTTGAGTTCAGTCTAAGCAGTCTTTGAGTAAGTATTTAGCTATGCTTGGGAACCTGGCTAGAACCAAGCAAACCAAGTGTAACTTGCATAAAGATTGTAGTTCACAGACCTGGGGCGAAGCTGAGGGATAGTGTCACGGAATGATGCCAAATCACAAAATCTGGTAGATCACTCTAATATGCATAATTCTTAAGGGGATGTATAGAGAGAATCCAGGTACCAAGGCAATGAAAGAATGTGTTCAAGAGTTAGAATAAGGGACAGTGCTTGAAAAGCTTCTGATGTTGACAAGGGGCTAGTTTTAGAACAACTGTTTTACAGTATTCACATACCTAGAACACAAATAACCATGTACATCATGAGATAAAAACACCCATCTTGAGAATGAAACATTACCCAATACAGTTGAAGTTCCTGGGTTCTCTTCTCTGCATCTTTCTGAGTTTCTTGTATTTATAATACAAATACATGTATTCCTAAATTAATGTTGTCACAAGTTATTTCCTTCATCTATATGCTATTATTCTGCATGAATGTTTCTGTAACTTGAGTTTTTTCATTCAATATTATGTTTGTGAGATATTTTCATGTTGATACATGTAGCACTGTTTCGTAGTTTTTAGCTGTGCTGTCTTTGCTGTGGTCTGAGTTGTAGGGAGGAAGAGAAAAGGAGGGGGCCATATAAGGGACTTGTACAGACTGCACACTTGGTGTCCCCAAGAGGTGACCCAATTTGTCCATGAGTCAGCTGCAAATGTGGTAACAGGATCTGGCTAGTAAAGAATTCTAATTATAATGAAAGAAATTGAATTTGCATGAAGAACTTGGAATCAACTAAATATTATAATATTTCATGGTAATAAACACATGATATGAGCATAATAAATGCATGTTTCCTGATTAAAAATAATTTTTAGCTTAAGTATATCACTGTTTCAAAAATTAGACACTCTTACAAGTGCTATGGGAAAAATGACCTAATTAATTTTTCTCTCCTTTGTTTTCTCCACCTTTTCTTCTCCAGTGGATATGATTCCTGCCCTGTAGTTGTCTGAAGGATCAATATTGAGCATCATTTGTGACCCTCAGCTTCCACCTGACTGTACACCACAGCAAAGTCTTTGGAAATATTTTTCAGTTAAAACAGTAATGACTTTTTTTGGAATGTATTCCCAGTGGAGCCTATTTTCTATGTAGCCTGGAAGAATACTTAACTAACATTGGCAATTCTTCAAATAGTTTATAAAAAAATCACTCTATATCAAAGAACTGAGTGACTGGGTTGTTGAAGGGGACATTAAGAATTTGGGATATCAATTCACCTGGAAGATTCAACCACTGCTATTCAGAGCTGCTGCTGAAATACCATGTCTAAGAATTCAGAGTTCATCAATCTCTCATTTTTATTAGATCATGAGAAGGAAATGATATTAGGAGTTTTAAAGAGAGATGAATATTTGAAGAAAGTGGAGGAAAAGAGAATAAGGTAATATTCTTTTATCTTTGCTGCCCTCCTTCACTGCTTTCTGTTTGTTTGAAGCAATTTAGATCAGAAATGGGACAACTGCAACCACATTGAAGACAAATGTTGTTCAGTGATTTCAGGGGTTCCAAATCATAGCCCAAATATTTTTTGTACTTTATTATTTAGCTGGATGGAAGAATGGAGTTCATCTAATAATATAGTGTTGATGAGAATGCCCATTTTTAATAATGTCACAACTTGTAGCTAAGTGGGAGGACTGCCCAAGTTTTAGTGCTAGCTCTGGGATATATTAGTTGCATGATCTTGATTAAGTTACTCAACTTCTCCATGCCTTGGTTTCCTCATCAATTAAACAAGGATAATAATAATAATAGTATACACCTCATAGGGTTGTTGCAAATGTTAAGGAAGATAATACATGTGCAGCACCTGGTACCTAAGTGTAAAATAAATATTAGCTATTATCTACACTAATAAAAGAGAAACATGGTAATTAGCGTACGACCGCTACCCTTCCCATTGGCTAATCAGCATATCCTTATGCAAATTAACTGTCAGCCAAGATGGCGGCCGGCAGCCAGGCAGCTGGAAGCGAACATGAGGCTTGCTTGCTTCAGTGAAGGAGGACTCCAACGTTCCCCGCCTGC